AATTAATTTCTATGGAAATACATAATTGTGCTATTTTTTAGAATTTGTTAGTCAAAATAATAATACAATATATACGTTCAAATTGTGCTAGTAATTGATTTTTTTTTTTTGAATTTTTTGCTTGAATGTATGCTTATAAAAAGGCATGTTATTTTTTTTAAAATACCATTTTTAAATTTCTTTACCGCTCCTTTACTTTGTTCTTATTGTTCATTTTTCATTTAATTTTTAAACAAGGTTAAGGCAATGCACATGCTGGAGCATTCACTTGTTCCAAACCCAGTGGCGGCGCCCGTTGACGGCGGCGGAAATTCGGTGACCTGCCCGGAGACAGTGATGAAAGGGGTAGTGGGGTGTTTAAAGGACAGAAAAATATCAAAATCAGCAAGCAAAGTATTATTAGCACTTTGTTTGTCGGAGAATAACCGACACGTGGCGGTCGAGGCAGGAGCTGTAGGGGTAGTGGTGGAAGTTTTGTCGGACTTGGAAGTTGCGGCGGCAGAGCGGTCGTTAGCGGCGTTGGAACTGCTGTGTATGGTGGCGGAAGGGGCGGAGGAAGTAAGGACGCACGCGCTGGCGGTGCCGATGATGGTGGAAGTTATGGGGAGATTGGAAGGGAGTCGAGGGAAGGAATATGCTATTGGTGTGTTGGCGGTGATATACGGCGGCGCGTGTGACGGTGCGCCGGTGAATGCTCCGCCGGAAGAGGTGGCCCGTGCGGTGATGTTGGCTTTGCAAGGTGATTGTAGTGCTAGAGGGAGGAGAAAAGGGGCTCAGCTTCTAAAAATCCTGCAAAATTATGGACGGCCCGACCCGACCCAGGAAGTGGAGGAAGTGGAGCCCCGACCCGTTTGAAACCTTGTTTGTTTTCAATATGTAATGCTTAACTAGTGACCTATGCTCTGTGTGAAAATAGCCATTTTCATTTAATTTTTTTTTCTTAATAATTTGTTATATATTAGTTTTAGATTTTAATGTAAATACCGTAAAAATTGAAATCTTTACTTCTTAGAAGTGTAATTTCTCGAGTTTTGACCTCGAAATATAATAAGTACAAATTACCTTGATTTATAACAATATACTACTATGTTATGGAAGTAAAAACCGGTTAAATGGATAATTTTACTCTCACTGTCTCTATTTTCTTGTATCTGTTTAACGATTTCGATATTTTTTGACATAAAACATTGACTAGGTGAAAATTCACTAAAATCTATTCTGAATAATGTACAATAAGTTTTATGCTAATATTTTTAAAGATTGAACTCTTAAATTTAACGTTTTAATATCTGTTTATTGCTCTTTTAATTTTGTCAATTTTAACTTTCTTTAAAAAAATTAACTTAGTAACGATAGGTAGAAAAAATAATTGAATAATATCAAAGGAATACGATTATAACCCTTACATGGTTGTACAATACATGGTTGGATTTTATATACACAATATATTGAAGTAGAAGCGTAGAACCCAACCTGTTATGTTGTTAATCCACGAAAGAATTAAATAAGAGGGTATATCTAGCTTTCCATGCAATAATAATATAATATACTCATTTAATTTTTTTTTTTTTAGTCTATGTAAAAAAAAATTACATCTTTTCTTATTTGAAAATAATTTATATTTATTCAATGATTTATATTCACACAAAATATATGTGTCTCATTTTACATCACAAATTTAAAAGTGTTCTCTATTTTCTTAAACTCTCTGTGTCTAGTCAAATAAGTTTACATAAATTAACATAAATTAAAACGGATAAAATATACGTAGTCTTGGATTATTCTCCTTAGTATTAAACTATCACCTGAAACTTACCATAATTTTGTTGAAAAAAGTGTTGGGTTTTTGGGACAGCTTCACGTGGTGGTGGGGTTGATATAAACTGCATGCAGTACTGTATCGTCTGTAGTTTTATTACTCAGAGTTTGCTGAGGCAGAAATGAAGTTAGGTCATCATTCATCGGTACTGAAAAAGGTAGGACATTGCACTATTGCACAAAGAGCGAAAGAGCAGATGCGGTAGCTTATTCAAGATTTAAAGTTTATGGGTTTCTATAATGATTTTAAGTAAATATATCAGGGTTCACAATCAAATATTTATAAATATTTAGTGGATTCTTAATACATATACATGGTATATACAAAAGTTACTCAATTCACGAGAACCCACATATAATAGGCCGGATCCGCACCTGAATTATTACTTTTATATTTTTCGTATACACTGAAATAAATTTACTTTGAAGTCTGGAGTAATCTTAATATTTATGTTACGTGAGGCTCATCAGTCAGCAGAGGGGGAAATATTCTCCACTAACGGGTAATTCGGATTCGACATAAAAATTTCGGTTTTCGGATTGAAGAAATGATAAATCAAATAAATTCGGATTGAATCGAACTTTTTAAGTTTAGACTCGGATTAATCGGTTTGAATATTTTAGATTTTTGGTTTTGAGTTTATAAGTTGAGATGTTTCTTCTCTAACTTCTATGATAATGAACATCCAAATGAAGTATTCATTTTAAATTGCTTAAAAAGTTTTTCATTTTCACAACAAGCATCCAGATAAAGTATTCAAGTAATGAAATCATCATCAAAGAAATACAACAAAGATATTAATAAGGCCGATAAGAAGTAGCAATAGTAAAATCATGTCCAAAATAGAAAGTATTCTGATAGTAACTTAGTAATTAGTATTGAATATATGAGATTATGTCTAATGATTAGAATATTGGGCTTGTTACTGTTGGCATATGAATAATGAACTAAATATAAAATTTTAAATTTTCGGATATCCAAAAATTTGAAGTACCAAATCCAATATCAAATCCAAAATAAAAATTTTTAAAATTAAATCCGAAATTCAATCCATAATCTGAAAATCCAAACCAAAAATCCAAACAATTCGTATTTCGATTTGGATTTCGGGTTTGCCCAAACTATGTCCACCCCTACTACTAATATTTCTATTTTTATTTTCAGAGCTTGAAGCCGAAATCTCTGGCCAAGTATAAATGATCTTTATACATCTTCACAACCCTTAGTGGTAACCAAAATAATTTATCATTATAATTTATTCTTAATTTGTTATTATCAAAGAGCAAAAAGAGCATCATACCTATATATTTTACGCTCAAACTAATCTTTGAATATAGTAGTTATTTTACTCTTTTTTGTTTTCTCGAAATCGTTTTAAAGGAATAATACACTTTTATTTTTCTTTTAGCTTTTTGATGAGCCCTTCAATATTATTCATAGAGAGCAATTTCTTTTATTTGAGGATAGTATCCAAATCAATTTGCAAACGTCTCAATTATTTGTAGGTAATATTTATTGTCTCCAGCTAGCACACAAGTCTCATTAATTATATCATTGGTATTTAAGTCAACTTGCAGACACCTTAATTATCCTTTTAGAAAATCAAAAAATTAATATAAATAAATAAATAAATAAGAGATTGGAAATGAAAGTTTTTTTCTCGGATCTATTCTTCATCACACTATTGGAACCTTATTTCACTCGCTGAGTCTTTTTGCATCTATGGTTGAATGGTTAAAGCGCCCAACTCATAATTGGTGAATTCGTAAGTTCAATTCCTACTGGATGCACGCCAATGGGACCCTCCAATAAGTCTATTGGAATTGGCTCTGTATCAATGGAATCTCATTATCCATACATAACGAATTGATGTGGTATATTCATATCATAATGAATAGTAAGAACTCGCATTCTTATTGAGACTTTAACTCATAGGGAAGAAAATCGATTTATAGATGGAATCAAATATGCAGTATTTACAGACAAAAGTATCCGGTTATTGGGGAAAAATCAATATACTTCTAACGTCGAATCAGGATCAACTAGGACAAAAATAAAGCACTGGGTCGAACTCTTCTTTGGTGTCAAAGTAATAGCTATGAATAGTCATCGACTTCCGGGAAAGAGTAGAAGAATGAGACCTATTATGAGACATACAATGCATTACAGATGTATGATCATTACGCTTCAACCGGATTATTCTATTCCACCTCTTAGAAAGAAAAGAACTTAAATAAAAATACTTAATAGTATGGCGATACATTTATACAAAACTTTTACCCCCGAGTACACACAATGGAATCGTAGATAGTCAAGTGAAATCCAATCTACGAAATAATTTGATCTATGGACAACATCATTATGGTAAAGGTCGTAATGCCAGATGAATCATTACCGCAAGGCATAGAGGGGGAGGTCATCAGCGTCTATACCGTAAAATCTATTTTTGACGGAATGAAAAAGACATATATGGTAGAATCGTAACCATAGAATATGACCCTAATCGAAATGCATACATTTGTCTCAAACACTATGGGAATGGTGAGAAGAGATATATTTTACATCCCATAGGGGCTATAATTTAAGATACCATTATTTATGGTACAGAAGTTCCTATAAAATTGGGAAATGCCCTACCTTTGAGTGCGATTTGAACTATTGATTTACGTAATTGGAAATAACCAATTAGGTTTACAACGAAACCTAGAAATCTATCACTGATCCAATTTGAGTACCTCTGCAGGATAGACCTCAACAGAAAACTGAAGAGTAACGGCAGCAAGTGATTGAGTTCAGTAGTTCCTCATATAAAAATATTGACTCTAGAGATATAGTAATATGGAGAAGACAAAATTATTTCAAGCACCGACAAAACCGGAAGCGCCCTTCTTTCAAAGAGAGGAAGACGGGTTATTCACATTTCATTTGATGGCCAGAGGCGAATTGAAAGTTAAGCAATGGGAATTTTAAATATTCCTCGGGGGGAAAATAGAGATGTCTCCTACGTTACCCATAATATGTGAAAGTATCGATGTAATTTTATAGAGTCATTCGGTCTGAATACTACATGAAGAACATAAGTGCAGATAACGGAACGGGAAGACCCAGGATGTAGAAGATCATAACATGAGTAATTCAGCAGATTTGGATATATATA